TATTGTTTATAGTTTATACCCATTTTATCATTTTCAAACTTTAACTAGGGTTTGTTAACTTATTTATTTTGATTATATTATTTATTTATTTATTATTAAAAAATAATCCCCTGTCCGGCGGTGGCCTTGGTGGTCGGAGCTCCGATCAATATTAGTTGACATTCCATTTGTTTTCCTTTTTTTCTTTTTTTTTTAATTTATTTTTCCAGCGGCGGGTCGTCTGAGATTTGGTCTGACCCAACATTAGTTAATTTCAAGTCTTCAATATTAGTTGACATTCCATTGTTTTTTCTTTTATTGTTTTATTATTATTATTTTTTTTTGCTGGCGGGTCGTTGGAGCTCTGGTTAGTTGACTTGCATATAGTTGACTACGTATTACCTGACTTCAACATTAGCTGATGTCCATTTTTTTTTCTTTTAACCTTTTTATTTCTCGGGCAACGAAACGTCGGAGCTCTGATTAACTGACTATGCATTAGTTGAGTTCACATTAGCTGACACCCGACCTTTTTTTTTATTTTTTTTTCCTTAACTCTTTTCCTAGGTGATGAGTATTTAGGACTCCGATTAGCTGACTAACCATTAGCTAACACCGGACTGTTTAGTGTTGAAGTCAACTAATCGTAGCTCTGATGATCCGCCATCGGAGGAAGAAAATAAGTATCGAATGTCAATTAATGTTGAAGTTAACTGATAATGAAGTTAACTAATGCAGGCACCGCTAATTAACAGGAGATCTGACGACCCACAGCCGAAGCAAAAAAAAAAAAAAAAAAAAAAGAAAAAAGGGAAAAAGTACAGTTTCCCCCCCTAACTATGGAGGTTGTACCAAGCACTCCATAAACTACAAAACTTGACAAAACGCCCCCTACCATTTCCAGCCAACAGTTAAAAACATAACACCGTTAGTACATGCATTTACCTTGTTGTCCTTAAAATATACGTTTGCACTACTCGGTTGTATCTTTGAGTAAGCATAGTAAGCACACTTCCACCTTACCTTTATAAAATCTTGAGCGGCAGGATCCACGCCGCCAAAAGCATCTCGCCGGCATATCCTCTATCCTCACAACCATCGTACCCACTTGGAAGATAATCTTTTCTTTGATGGTCCTAACGTCAAGCTCTCATCCAACATCGCCAAACTCGGAAAAAATCAATCGAATAAGGAGCAATAGAAGTATGCTCGAATCGGGGCAGTGGTTTTCCAGTTGGTCTAAGGGGAGAGAGAATAAATTATTTTGGATTGCGGCAAAGAAAGTTGCCTCTTCATGGCGGTGGGATCTCATTGGTTCTTTGCTGCTATTGTTTGATCTTCATTAAAACTTGGGTTTTTGGTGAAATTTTTTGAGATTGCTTTTCTTGGAGAAAAATTGCAGTTCAAATAGAAGGATTGAAGAGATGATTTTGTTTCTCTTATTCTTTAATTTTATGTGAGCATTTGTTGAATTGAGGTATGTTTCATGGTGATTCTGGTGAGGATGCAGTGTTCTTTTGAGTGTCGACAGAGAGAGATTGTTGAAGATTTTGCAGATTTTTCCTTTTTTTTTTTTTTTTTACACCCCTGAACTATCAAACGTACCAAAATAACCCTTGTCATTTGTTGTAACAGCGTTGATCCCATTTTTCTCATCTTAGTTGCTTCTTGATATGCGTGTTCTAGTTATTCTTGACTCATTATATGTTCTTATTGGAGATGAGGAGCAATCTTCAAATTTGGAAGCATGGTAACGTCATAGGTAATGTCACAAAGAACCAAGATTGAAGGTCTGTTATTTGCTACCTCCGATTAGTTTTCAGAATTGAGGTATGATTTTAAGCTATATTTTATTCAATCTAGCTTTTTCCTTTTTTAATTTAAAGAACAACTCCTATAGTTCAGGGGTAAAAACTGTACTTTCCTCTTTATTTTATTTTTGTATTTTGATTATTTAAAATTGAGTGTAAAAGCGTCCCGCAAAGTGAAATAATAGAAAAAATCATAAAATGAATATGCCACGTCATCATCCACTAACAGACTGTAAACAAATGGGCCATTTTAGTTCAATGGGGTGTTTGTGACAAGCCTCATAGTTCAGAGGTGCAAATTGTACTTTCCAAAAAAAAAATGTTAACTAATAGTTAAATAATGTTGAAGTTAACTAATGTTGAGTCAGCTAACCGTAGCTCCGGCGATTCACCACTGGAAACAAATTAAAATAAAAAAAAATAAAAAAAAAATGGAATGTCACCTAATGTTGAAGTTAACTAATGTTGAATTAGCTAACCGGAGCTCCGACAACCCGGACTAATGCCACAAAAAAAAAATAAAAGGAAAAGGTTGGGTCGGACAGGACCGGGTCGGGTTAGGTCGGAACGGACCTGGTGGGCGGGGGGTGGGTTACGTTGGGCTTATCTCCAATAGAAATATATATAGACTATGTTTGGGAATTTATGTTTTTGTGGGCTTATTTGAAATTAAAGTTAAAGGATATGTTGATTTGTAGCAAAACTTCATTTCATGGGCCTAGCTCAAATTCACCCTTATATTATTATTGGAGTCTTAAGATATAGGTCTCTCTCGTGAGAAAAGTTATTAGAATTAAATGCAAATCAAACTAAATATTTGTTTCACATCCTTTATAAAATTCATTCAAAAAATGCCGCTCCAATAACAAATTTGATATCTGCATTAAGTAAAATTCAAATTACAATTATCATTTTTATTATACATTTAAAATTTTCATTTTTTCATTTAACATATTTTATTTTAGTTTATTTTTACAGACTTCGGCATCTTTATTTTTTTCCTTTTTTTCATTCTAGCATGTTTTACATTATTACAAGCAAGTTATTTTTTTTCCTTGTTTATAACATTATATTGAAAATTACGAAAAAAAACGTATTTTCTTGTTTTTTTTAATAATACAACAGATTGTAAAAATACTACGGTGTACTATAGTATACTATGGTTTGCTGTAATATACTATTGTTTACTACAATGTACTATTCCGAACCCTAGCATCCAACAACTCCCAGCCGCCACCAAACTTTAACATCAAACATCTTCCCGCCGCCGTCAAACCATAACATCTAACAAATTACAGTCGTTGCCAAACCTTAGCAATCAATGACTCCCTAGCCGCCGCAAAACCCCATCTACCAAAACCTAGTCGCCCCACCAACTCCAGCCGCCATAGTTGCCGCCTCCTAACATAGATCTAACCTCACACCATTATAGTTGTTGTCTCATTGCCTCCATAACCATCTCTTTCATTGCCATAACCTCCATAACTGCCTCCTTAACCACCGCCTCCATCGTCGCCGCCACCTACTATAACCACCATCGTAGCCTCCCACAACAATAACTGAATATAACATTTATTAAATTTAGATTTGTTAAAGAGAATAGAAAAGAAAAAAAAAGGGAGGGGTTGGGGACGAAGAGAGAGAGAAATGAAGAGAAAAACGTGATTTTTATTAGGTACTGTAAGGGAATTTTTGGCTTAAATAAAAATCAAAGGATATGTATCAATTTTTTTTTAAGTAGGGATGTTGTTAAAATGTTCTATATGAAGTTGTCACTCATATCTAATTAGGTTTGGTTTGACGGGTGTGAGACATATTACCCTTATATCATAGGGTTAAATACAAAAACACTCATGTACTATGAACTTTGTATCATATAACTCCATGTACTACACATAAATACAAAAAACCCCTACCTTTACATTTTTTTCAACACCTGTTTTTAGCTGGACGAAAATACCCATGTTAAAGCCTATAAACATAATGGTTTGTTTTAGCCATTTTCCACTATATTTTTAACATTTTCGGTCGATTTTACTTATGAAATTTTATTTATTTTATTTTGTTTCTCCAAAACATCTAATTGCTTGATTTTTTTTTATTTTCTGAATAAACCTTTTATTTTTGTCATTTTGAATTTCTTCATTTTTTTTCTTAAATGTCTTCCGGTAGTTCAAATTCTCAACAATTATGGGATTTTAAGGATGTTTTTCGGGTAAGGATTGTTTTCATTTACATAGAGCTAGAAAACACCATATGATTGTTGAGAATTTGAATACGTGAAGACATTTAAGAAAATAATGAAAAAATTCAAAAGGACAAAAATTTATTCAGAAAAAAAAAAACATAAAAAAAAAATCTAAGCAATTATATGTTTTGAAGAAAAAAATAAAAATACCAAAATTTTCCAAAAAAAATAGAATGAAAATGTTAAAAAATATAGTGGAAACTGGCTCAAACGAACCCCTTATATTTATAGGCTTTTGCAGGGGTATTTTCGTCCTGCTAAAACAAATTTTGGAAATATGTAATGGTTGGGAGATTTTTGTATTTATGTATAGTACATGTGGTATATGATACAGAGTCCATAGTACATGGATGTTTTTGTATTTAAAACCATATTATATTATAGGTGAATAAAAAGTTGAATGGTAAATTAAAGTTCCCAAGTCTTAACGTGTTAGTGTTAGTTAACTTTAACATTGTTAGAAATCTTTTTTCTTTCTTTTGTTTTTCTTTGTTTAGAAAAAAAATTAGTGTTTTTTGTCTTTTTTTTTTTTTCTTTTTTTTTTTCGGGTCGTCTGAGCTTCAGTTGACTGACTCACTATTAGTTAACTTCAACATTAGTTAACTTCAAAAAATCCAATTTTTTTCTTTTCATTATTATTTTTTTATTCTTTTAATGAGATTAAAAAAAAGACTTTATTACAAAGCAATATGATACTCTTCTAACAAAAACTACTTCAGAAGCCAACACCATTAACCATCTTTGTATTATCCGAGCACAAAGAGTTGGTACCTAACATCTACTGTTAGAATAAAAGACTAGGGTTCGAATCATGCATGTCACCTAGTTTCTCAATTCCTAACATGATTTGAATTTTGAAAAAGAAAAATCCAAGAAAATTAAACATTTTTATGCTACTTTTCTTTTAATCATATCATACCATATATCATACCATTAAAGTTTGCCTCACTTCTTCACCACCATCAATCATCAAGTACAAGTGAGACTAAACTTTCAGTGTAGACCTCCGCTGCACGAACACGATCAAGGTCAAAGTCAACGGTGTGTTGTTGCCTGACGCAATTGTCTTTCTTATTGTAAATAAAAAAAACCGATCCGTACGTAAACAGAACCTCGCCACCTGGCAAAACAAACAACGGAGTTATGAGATTATATGTTTCCGGCAATGAAGGCTCCCAAGAAACGGATCGATAAGAAATAGTGACATGTTTAGCCCAAGAATCATCCACCCCATACTTATTCCAAATCCAGATGTCGAACTTAATAGTTGAAACATAGTCGGCAAACACACAAAGACATCCTTTGAGAACTCCCAATCCTGGGCTGTAATAACCCTCGATACAACTAGGTTGTTTCACGATTCCAAAAGTCTCACTCTTCAAATCGAAACAAACAACTTCCCATTTCGGATTCGTTTTCGAATAGCTAATCCAGTGTAACTTCCCACTCACAAACTTGGCTGAACCAAATATACACACATCCTTAAAGAAAAAATTACGTCCCCAAGAATCGTCCTTTAAGCTATACACTCTTGCGGTACTCGGAAAAGTCAAGTTTGAACCACACCGGAATATCATATAACAAACGGCGCAAACCTTGTAATCACCACTACTCTCATCAAATCCAAAGCCATATCCACGAATAGAACCGACATTCTTCGGGAAAAGCGCTCCGGTAAAGAAGTCGGGCAATTCCTTGGACTCTCTTGTCGAAGGATTCAACAAGAAAAACCGACATGCATCTACTAATACGCAGATCAAACCGTTGCAAGAACCGACGATAACTACATCTCTCGAACTATTAATCGGAATGAAATCGAAAGAAAAGGCACGAGTGACCGGTTCGGTGAACAAGGAGGACAGAGAACATGCCTTTAGATTGCCTTTACAGGTTGAGATGATTCTTTTGTCGGTGAAAGATTCGATCTTTTTCGAACGTTGGAGATGGGTTTTGATGAATTGTTTGCTGGAGATCAATGAACCCCATGATGGGGTAACACACTTGAATCTCGATAGAGATTTTACCGGAAGTCTGTACAAGATTTCTTCTATGATTTCTTGGGGAAAATGATCGGTGGTTTGTTCAGCCTTGCCGGTCTCCATTTGCAGCAGCGGCAGCGGCGGCGGTGGCTTACGAGTTTAGCGTACGGGAAAGCCACCGGACTAGGGTTTTGATTAGGAAATCCCAAACACAATTTTCTTTTCTTCTTTATTATTATTATCTAATTTCGTTTTGGGAAAATTGAACATCACCCCCTATACATTTCTAATTTTTGCACTTTACCTCCTCATTTTTTTAAAAAGTGATTGTCACCCTTCAAAATGTTATTCTTGGTTGACACTGCCACAAAATTAGGGTTTTGTTTTACCGTTTTGGGTGTTTTGAGATTTTTGTTTCGTATGAGGAAGAGTTTATTGCAAATAGCACCCCTGTGAAATCGCGAATTGGCAAATAACCTTTGTGAAAAAAAAACTCTACCATACCTCCATGGGGTAAACAGTATAAAACCCCCATGTATTTCATTTTACTTTGCACGGAATCCCCTTTTATGTTAAAAGTTAACACCATTAACTATAGATTTTATGCAATTTTTTTATAACATATGGGGATTTGGTGCATGGTTTTGCAATACAAGGGGGTTCTACGCAAAATTAATTTATTATTTAAAATTCAAAATATTTTCTTAAATTAAGTCGAATACATATATTAATTTAAAACATGAAAACCAAAAAAATTAATGTTCGAGATGGAAGATGGAACGAATTCTCAAATTATTTACGTTATTTTCACATGTAATTCTAACAAAATAATTATAAATTTTACAAAATCAAAATTCTTAAATATATTAATAATTATATTATATAAAAATTGATTTTTTTTAAATACTTACCACACATATTAAATTTATATTTTTTATATGGTAACTAAGTGTCCGACTTAATTTGAGAAGATAGTGTGAAAAATTTAAATGAATAAATTAATGTTGCATAAAATCCCCTTGTATTGTATAAATTATGCACTAAATCACCCTATGTTATAAAAAACTTGCATAAAATCCATTTTATAGTTAACGGTGTTAACTTTTAACGGAAAAGAGGATTTCGTGCAAAGTAAATTAACGCAAGAAAAAAAAACATAGGAGGGTTTTTGGCGCAAATTTTCCTTAACATAGGGGGGTTTTATACTGTTTACCCTACCTCCATGTGTAACCTAGTTTGAAGCACACTGCACGCACCCAGTGGCATTTTGCTTGACCAAAAGTTAAAAGACAAAAAAACCCAGGTGTTTTTTTTTTTGCAATTAGACAAGTAATAGTGTTTTAACAAATAAAATAAATGTTAATATAATAATAATTAAAAAATAAGAAAAAAAGAAAAAAAGAATATAGGTAAACAAATATATTTATTAAATACAATGAACATATATGTTAATAATGAAGAAAATACAAAATAAAACATATGTTAAATATAATAATAATTATAAAAAATAAAAAATAAATTAAAAAAAGTCTTCATCTTCTTCTTCCCTGCCCCGACCACCGCCTCCTGCCTCCACCCCCCAACCACTCCACTCAATCCGTCCAACTCACAACATAATTCATTCACCATTCAGCCCAAGTCGGAGCCTTCTGCCGCTGCTCACCACCCCAACACTACCACATCTTCAGATCTTCCTCCAGTTGAGGCATGCCGCGACGGAGGTGTGCGTCGGTGGGCGGTGGAGACCCAAGAAATGAGTTTTCTTCCACCATCTTCATCTTCGTGCAGCGGCAGCGGCGGTCCATGATTGTGTTGGTATAATTATAAACAATCTGCGTAAACGAAAAAATACTTACTTGTTTGTCGAAAAGAGGAATTGTCAAAAACACAAAGAACGATCGAGGCTTGCCAAAGCAATTCCCTTAAGACAATATTTCCGGGCTGTCAACGGTGCACAGTCTCTTCCCGGTAGTCTCCCAAGGTACAACGATCGGTTGTCGAATATTTGCACGAATATTCGACCCATGGCGAACTTGAACAACGAACGAAACTTTGACGAAGAGAAAGAAAAATATGAAGAACTATCTCTCAATTGCCGATTAAATTCAGTACAGAATTGGCCAGATTCTGCCTTTAGTTATAGGTTGTAGAGATCCATTCACAGAGGGATGCAATTGTTGGAAGAAGAAGCAGAGAGATATGTGTCTGTTCTTTTTATCTAGTTCAAAAAACGTAGGAAAATTAATTGGTCATGGGCCAATTAATTAAATTGGTTTGGGCCAAGTATTTTATTATTTGGATTTTGGTTCAAATAATTTGACTAACTACTAAATGTTCCCAAAAGTAATATTTATGGACATCTAAACCCAAACTAGTCCTATCACTCGATCACACCGAGCGCACATCTTTTGAATTTTAACCATTTAATCAAGACAATTTTCATTCACTTTACTTCATGATTTTGATCAGGTAAATAAATGAAATTAATCTTTACATAATTAAATTAATATTACTCAATACTAATTATTGGAAATCATGAAAATTCCAACAATCCCCCACATGAATAAAATTGTTCTTCCAATCTTATAGCATAAGATCTATTTGTCAAAATTCCTTAGTGAATAGTACAACATCGGGATAGGTGAAATATTTCATCTTGAACCTTCCCTAGTTAAAGCTTATTGGATTTACTTAGCCAATCGGTGAATTATTTCATCTTGAACCGTCGGCTGTTTGTGTAAACCAAGACAATAAACTTAACACCTTACTAAACGAACTTGTTCAAGTTCTCGGTTGTGTTCGTTTTGGCCCTGAACATCCTCGGGTTCTGCGAGTGCTTTAGAGAATTCCAGCCTTTAAGAGTTCTCAACGAGCCGACCCAGCTCACACTAACATAGGTGACCACATCTATAAATAGTATCCTACTATACCCCACTTGTAATTTACAAGATATAGACGTCATTATAAGCAATAGCTTAACCTTTTTGAACGTTGTAGGTTGCACTTATTGCATCATAGGAATAAGATGGAGTTAAAACTCCTAAGTGCTCCATTTATTTAAGTTACACAGAACTGGTTGTCCTATTGAACTTGGTCCGTGGGATCTCCAGTCGCCAAGTTAGGTTTCCCTATAAGGTAACTTAGTTATTTAGGCTTTAAACCTATTCCCCTCGATGCACATTTAACTCTCTCGCTAGATAAACCTTTATTAAATGGATCCGCTAGGTTATCTTAGGACTTCTCAAAATCAATGGAAATTTATTCCATTAGAGAGTAAATTTATCACATTATATGTCTACAATGAATATGTCGAGACTTACTATAGTAAAGTATGAGAGCAATTTGTTAATTGATTATTTTTAAATCAAATATCTAATTATATTGCTTCGCTATATCTATATCCCCAAGGACATATACAAACATATTTAACTTGTAGTCAAATACCCCCACATTTTGAGATATTTATAGCTCAATTATATATATTTCCATAACTCATAAGGAATGTTCATCTTGTGTGAAACTCTATTTAATATGTCATTAGACACACAAGGAGTTTCCCCCACAAGTTGTTCGGTAAACTCAAGTTTAATCGTGTCTTTAAATCATGATTTTTCATTTGACTATCCCATTCAATGTGAATAGGGTGCAATGATTTTTCCATGCACACAAATAAGTTACTCATATTATCCGCTCTATCGGATTTAAGAAGTTATCTTCTTATTTTGTATTTCACAAATACACATTTGCTACCTTTTTATTAAACTCAAAATTTTAAGAACTTTAATTTTTAAAAATACTCACAATATGATTGGATAGAATCATATTGCACTGAAAACAGAGAAATCAAGCACCCCTCATGAGTGCTTATTTGAAGTATAAATAAATATTAATTATGCCCAAATTCAACCAAGTCATTGGATTGAAACAATATTGTTTCAAAAGAAAGAATAAAATATTTATATGATTTAATAATTTTAAATTTCATACAGACTTATAAAACATAGGGCAAATTTTTTTTTTTTTTTTTTTTTTAAATATACTAGTCAAAAACTTGTATGATAAAACTTTGTTTTACACACGACTTTTTCCAACACAATAAATTCTTACAACTCTTATCACAAAATGCAAATAAACCATATAAACTAAAAATTATTAATATAAATGTAGTAGCTTAGTTCTTGCCGATAACGGCTACGTTCGCCTTAAAGAGACCATCACATAGGTACCCTTTTCCGACGTAGAATCCTCCTTTGGTTAGCACAAATTTTTCTGACTCAAAAGCCAACTTGAAACCTTTCTTGGTTAGGATAGAACCGCTGATTAAGTTCTTCCTAATATCCGGAACGTGTAGCACATCGTTCAAGGTAACTTCCTTTCCGGAAGTGAATTTTAGGATCACTTGTCCTTGTCCTTCAACCACCAAATAAGCATCATTTCCCATGAAGAGCTTTTTTTCTTGTTCCAACTTTTTATAGGAGGAGAACATGCTCTTATCATAGCAAATGTGACGAGTTGCCCCGGTGTCTACCCACCATCCTCGAGTATCGCTCAATAGGTAGGCCTCTGTTACGACTGCCGAAAGGTGCATGTTGTCGTTCTCGGAAGTAGCTAAGTCCACGGTGACATTTGCTTCATTTTTATTGTTTTCTTTGCGGTGGCGGCAATTCTTCGCAAGGTGTCCATTCTTTCCACAAACAAAGCACGCTCCGGTGAACCTCTTATTTTTCTTGTTGTTTGGTCCTTTGTTAAATGTAGGATTTTTTCGCTTGTTGCTTTGTTTCGAGCTCTCCACTATGTGCGCCTTAGCCACGTATTGATCACCCTTGTCGGTAATTTTATTATCCTCCTCGGTCTTGAGCCTTGCAATGAGTTCCTCCAGCGTCCATTTGGCAACCGATTTCTTGTGCCTTAGGTAGTGTTTGAACTCCGTCCAACTCGGTGGAAGCTTTCCAATTATGGAAGCCACTTGATAGGATTCGCTCACCTCATGACCCTCGGCGAGAATATCGTAGATCATGAGTTGGAGTTCATTCACTTGCTCACTCACAGTTTTGCTATCGACCATTCGATAAAATTGGAATTTGTCTACTATGAATTTCCTATATCCCGCATCTTCAGACTTT